TCATCATCATCATCACCATCACTATCATCATCATCATCACCATGACTATCATCATCATCACCATGACTATCATCATCATCATCATCATCACCATGACTATCATCATCACCATCATCATCATGACTATCATCATCATCATCATCACCATGACTATCATCATCACCATCATGACTATCATCATCATCACCATCATGACTATCATCATCATCACCATCATGACTATCATCATCATCACTATCATCATCATCACCATCACTATCATCATCATCACCATCACTATCATCATCATCACCATCATCATCATCATCATCATCACTATCATCATCATCACCATCACTATCATCATCATCACCATCATCATCATCATCATCATCACCATCATCACTATCATCATCATCACCATCACTATCATCATCATCATCATCATCACCATCATCATCACCATCACCTCCTCCTCCTCCTCCTCCTCCTCCTCCTCCTCCTCCTCTGGTTATTTGTGGTGTCATGAGTTCAGGTGACTCTTTCAGAACGACTGAAGTATAAAAAGTGATTTAAAGCAGCTGGAGACACTTTGACCCTCCTTCATCTTTTGGCTTCACATTTTGAAAAGTCTGAAAAAGATTTTAGGTTATTGACACCCAGCGACGTGAAGCTCCTGACAGCTCATCGCTTTGTAAACATATAATATATTCATATATTTAATGGTGTCTTACTTTTGTCCTCCCGTTGATCGTGTAGTCCCCCAGGTTTCCGTTGCAGTACCGGATCAGGTCGTCCATGCGGCTCATCAGAAACCGGATCTTCTCGCAGCCGGACTCCCGGCCCTCGATCCACGTGATTTTGTCCCCCCGGATGTCTTTGGTCGAATCACTTTTCTGACTCACCAGCTGTCCGTCCGTGAACTTCCCGGTCTTGTGCAGGGCTTTGACGTTGTCCAGGATCCCCATCCCGGTCTCGTCTCCGAGGAAGTGGTCCACCACGCAGATCCCGTGTTTGTTCATGCAGGGAACGATGTAATCCACGGCCAGTTTCTGTGGGGACGAGCTGCTCTGTCCGTTAGGTGTGGCGGTGTCGTTAGACCCGTCCTCTCCTGGTTTGTCCCCCGGTTTGTCCCCCGGTTTGTCCCCGGGTTCTGTCGGTGAAGCCGTGCTGTCTCCGGTCTTTTCGCGGGGTTTCTCCGGTGCCTTGTGGTCCCCGGGTGGTGCCTTGTGGTCCCCGGGTGGTGCCTTGTGGTCCCCGGGTGGTGCCTTGTGGTCCCCGGGTGGTGCCTTGTGGTCCCCGGGTGGTGCCTTGTGGTCCCCGGGTGGTGCCTTGTGGTCCCCGGGTGGTGCTGGTTTGTCCGCCTCCTTACACAGGAGCTTGTGTTTCTTCCAGTGCTGTTTCTGGTGCTCCTTGCTGCAGTAGAAGGAGCTCCGGCACCTCCCGCACTTCAGGAGGTTTTCCATTTTACCACAAAGTTCACAGAACTGCCTCTCCCGCTCCCGGTCCCGCTCCCGCTCCCGCTCCCGGTCCCGCTCCCGGTCCCGGTCCCGGTCCCGGTCCCGGTCCCGCTCCCGCTCCCGGTCCGCGTCGCTCTGCTCCCTCTCCATGTTGGAGGCTCCTCCGGGAGGGGGGTCCGCGTCGCTCTGCTCCCTCTCCATGTTGGAGGCTCCTCCGGGAGGGGGGGGCTCCTCCGGGAGGGGGGGTGCACTGTGCCTTTAAGACCGATCCTTCACACGCGCCCTGCTAACCGACAACTTTGGAAACGATCCACCGCCTGTGCCACGCTACACCGACTCAACACTCCGCCATATTCCTACCCTTCCCGCCCTTCCTTCCCGCCCTTCCTGCCTCTTCACATGTTGTATCAGTGAAACAACGCGACGGTCGGACTCCCGGGCCGAGCCTTTCGGGCGGCATTTCTGCTGCTTAGCTCCTCCGACGGTACTGCATGGCGCCGCTCGCTCTGTGCTCAGCCTGTCTGAGGTCCTGCCTGCTCTGACGTCAGCACGCAAGCTCTGCCCCCTCCCGCGCTGCCTTCAGGTGCTGTGGGACAGATGAAAGAACTTAAAAGTCCTAAAACGTGTGGAACTAGTTTATCGCTCGTTTAAGTGTCCACAGGTAGAGATCATGTGACAGGTAGAACTCATGTGTGTCCACAGGTAGAGATCATGTGACAGGTAGAACTCATGTGTGTCCACAGGTAGAGATCATGTGACAGGTAGAGCTCATGTGTGTCCACAGGTAAAGATCGTGTGACAGGTAGAGCTCATGTGTGTCCACAGGTAAAGATCGTGTGACAGGTAGAGCTCATGTGTGTCCACAGGTAGAGATCGTGTGACAGGTAGAGCTCATGTGTGTCCACAGGTAGAGATCATGTGACAGGTAGAGCTCATGTGTGTCCACAGGTAAAGATCATGTGACAGGTAGAGATCATGTGTGTCCACAGGTAAAGATCGTGTGACAGGTAGAGCTCATGTGTGTCCACAGGTAGAGATCGTGTGACAGGTAGAGCTCATGTGTGTCCACAGGTAGAGATCATGTGACAGGTAGAGCTCATGTGTGTCCACAGGTAGAGATCATGTGACAGGTAGAGCTCATGTGTGTCCACAGGTAGAGATCATGTGACAGGTAGAGCTCATGTGTGTCCACAGGTAAAGATCATGTGTGAGACAAACGTCATGTTGCTCGATTAAAAGATAATCTGAAAACAAAAACAGGGTCTGCTTGTAAAAAAAATGTAATCCAGATTAAAAGGATCCAGATTTTTAGGATTGGGTAATCCAGTTCACTTTGGTTGTTCACTGACAAACTGGATATGATGAGCCAGATCCAGGAGCAGATTTTTAAAGAATGCCAAATACAGACTACCAGAACTAGAAAAACAAGTCTAAACAAATCTTTTAGACTGTAAACATGTTTGATCTGTTTCATGGTTTTCTCTCTGTAATCAGAGGATTCGGATTTTAGATAAAAGTCCTCAATCCTACGATAAAGTTTAAAATTCACAAACTGGAACTTTGATCAAGATAAAAAAACAGGACTGAAGTATCTGATCTAATCCGATGTCTGGATATAATCCTATTAAATCACTTCAATCCTGTTGGATTACTTTAAAACTATCAAACGGGTGAAGTTTGAAATGTACGATCTTGAAGAAAGCTCCTGAATGCACCACAAGTCATCGTCATTGTGTTGTCCTCATTCCCGGCCTGCATGTGTGAAATTCCTTCCACACAACAAAGAGTGTTTTGAATAAAGAGGTTTCTGTTGTCATGAAGGTTCCTGAAGCTTTCTCTGCAGGTCAGCCGACTTTAATTCACAAAAACAGTCAGATATTATAAAATATAACATTTACATTGAATAAACTTTAGTCTCCATCAATCTGTCTCTGCACTGCCGCTCATCAGGCTTACAGAAGAGGAGGTTTGAGTGACAGGAGGCGGTTTGATTGACAGGAGGCGGTGTGATTGACAGGAGACGGTTTGATTGACAGGAGGCGGTTTGATTGACAGATAGTTGATAGATCCAACCACAGCTCAGAATCCACCCTCATTAAGGTCTTACATTATCTCCACAGTAACATGGACTCTGTCAGTCCTTGTTCTTTTAGATCTTAGCATTCGACACAGACTCCTAGGAGGGATTGTCTGATCCGGTTATCGCTACCTATCTACTAGACAAAGATTCTTTGTCTCCATTGATGGCTTCTCCTCAGACAGACTTGCTGTGACCCTAACCCTAACCCTCGTGTTCCACAGGGCTCAATCCTCGGCCCATTCTTGTTCATTTGTATAATACCCTCATTACGCAGATGATACACAGCTTCATATCTCCTTCTCCCTCGATGATTTGAGCCCGGTAGAAACGCTGGTTTATTTCATCAAGTCTTGTAATTAAACAGAATTCATTATTTTAATGTCAAAGAGACGACACATCACAGCTTACCTAAGTTCCCCAGAGAACAGGCCAGAAACCTTGGTGTCATCATTGATGCTGACCTTAACTTTCAATAACAGATCATCTTATAACCTCTAAAAAGATACGGACCTTCCTATCACGCTGAAAAACTAGTTCAAGCTGCCGTTACAATTATGCGATTGAAATATTCTCTTTTCAGGACTCAGTTTAAAAACAGCAGCTTCTACAGAGTTGAAGCTGCTGTTTTTAAAGTTGGCAGCAGTCAACATAGTCAACACAGAGCAGGCGTCCCTGGAGGAGGAGTTAGTGATCTGCACAGGAGGGAAACTTAATATTTAAATGGTCTATGGTTGGAAATGAAAGATGGTTGAAGTCAGGCTGACTGGGAAAAGTTAGACGAAGCAGTGGAGCAGCTTGGCCAAGGACACATTGGAAATGTGGCTCAGGTAATCAGGTTTAATCTGTCACATAGGGCCCCCTTAGGGATGACTCCTACTGTCACTGCAAACTTTGCACATTTTGAGTCACTGCTGTGATTTAAAGTTTGTCAGCCCTCCGGGGCCCCCTACTGGCCTGGGGCCCCAACAGCTTTCTGCCTGGCCTCTTTTTCTTGATTTGGATCAAAAGTTGGCAATTAAAGGATTCCTCCTCTGGGATACTTTCCTAATATGAGTAAAGATGTTAACTTTCTAATAACAAGTCGGAGGTCAATTTTACCCGTGAGCTCAGAGAGAATCTAACCCTAGAAGAAGAAGAAGAAGAAGAAGAAGAAGAAGAGCATGGAGAGTCTGAGCTGGAGCTATTTATACTTCTGAACAAGGAGGGGGGGGTTATACAATTCCTCCCCCTGTTTGTCTAAAAGAAAGGTGTGTGTGTGTGTGTGTGTGTGTGTGTGTGTAAGATGTGTGTGTGTGTGTACAAACAATGGGATCACAGGGTTCGTTATGAGACAGTCCTCATTGTTCTCCACTGTCTTTGAAGAGAGTCCAGTTGTTCCTCCAGTTATCTCTCTCTCTCTCTTTCTCTCTAGTGGTAGAGGCCGCTGAGAAAAGAGTCATCAGTATTAACTCATCCATTCACACACATTCACACGCTGATGGTAGAGGCCACTGAGAAAAGAGTCATCAGTATTAACTCATCCATTCACACACATTCACACGCTGATGGTAGAGGCCGCTGAGTAAAGAGTCATCAGTATTAACTCATCCATTCACACACATTCACACGCTGATGGTAGAGGCCACTGAGAAAAGAGTCATCAGTATTAACTCATCCATTCACACACATTCACACGCTGATGGTAGAGGCCGCTGAGTAAAGAGTCCGTCAGTATTAACTCATCCATTCACACATTCACACACTGATGGTAGAGGCCACTGAGAAAAGAGTCATCAGTATTAACTCATCCATTCACACACATTCACACGCTGATGGTAAAGGCCGCTGAGTAAAGAGTCCGTCAGTATTAACTCATCCATTCACACACTGATGGTAGAGGCCGCTGAGTAAAGAGTCATCAGTATTAACTCATCCATTCACACACATTCACACACTGATGGTAGAGGCCGCTGAGTAAAGAGTCATCAGTATTAACTCATCCATTCACACACATTCACACACTGATGGTAGAGGCCGCTGAGTAAAGAGTCCGTCAGTATCAACTCATCCATTCACACACATTCACACGCTGATGGTAGAGGCCGCTGAGTAAAGAGTCATCAGTATTAACTCATCCATTCACACACATTCACACGCTGATGGTAGAGGCCGCTGAGTAAAGAGTCCGTCAGTATCAACTCATCCATTCACACACATTCACACGCTGATGGTAGAGGCCGCTGAGTAAAGAGTCCATCAGTATTAACTCATCCATTCACACACATTCACACGCTGATGGTAGAGGCCGCTGAGTAAAGAGTCATCAGTATTAACTCATCCATTCACACACATTCACACACTGATGGTAGAGGCCGCTGAGTAAAGAGTCATCAGTATTAACTCATCCATTCATACACATTCACATGCTGATGGTAGAGGCCGCTGAGTAAAGAGTCCATCAGTACTAACTCATCCATTCACACACATTCACACGCTGATGGTAGAGGCCGCTGAGTAAAGAGTCCATCAGTATTAACTCATCCATTCACACACATTCACACGCTGATGGTAGAGGCCACTGAGAAAAGAGTCATCAGTATTAACTCATCCATTCACACACATTCACACGCTGATGGTAGAGGCCGCTGAGTAAAGAGTCATCAGTATTAACTCATCCATTCACACACATTCACACGCTGATGGTAGAGGCCACTGAGAAAAGAGTCATCAGTATTAACTCATCCATTCACACACATTCACACGCTGATGGTAGAGGCCGCTGAGTAAAGAGTCCGTCAGTATTAACTCATCCATTCACACATTCACACACTGATGGTAGAGGCCACTGAGAAAAGAGTCATCAGTATTAACTCATCCATTCACACACATTCACACGCTGATGGTAGAGGCCGCTGAGTAAAGAGTCCGTCAGTATTAACTCATCCATTCACACATTCACACACTGATGGTAGAGGCCGCTGAGTAAAGAGTCATCAGTATTAACTCATCCATTCACACACATTCACACACTGATGGTAGAGGCTGCTGAGTAAAGAGTCATCAGTATTAACTCATCCATTCACACACATTCACACACTGATGGTAGAGGCCGCTGAGTAAAGAGTCCGTCAGTATCAACTCATCCATTCACACACATTCACACGCTGATGGTAGAGGCCGCTGAGTAAAGAGTCATCAGTATTAACTCATCCATTCACACACATTCACACACTGATGGTAGAGGCCGCTGAGTAAAGAGTCCGTCAGTATCAACTCATCCATTCACACACATTCACACGCTGATGGTAGAGGCCGCTGAGTAAAGAGTCCATCAGTATTAACTCATCCATTCACACACATTCACACGCTGATGGTAGAGGCCGCTGAGTAAAGAGTCATCAGTATTAACTCATCCATTCACACACATTCACACACTGATGGTAGAGGCCGCTGAGTAAAGAGTCCATCAGTACTAACTCATCCATTCACACACATTCACACGCTGATGGTAGAGGCCGCTGAGTAAAGAGTCCGTCAGTATTAACTCATCCATTCACACACATTCACACGCTGATGGTAGAGGCCGCTGAGTAAAGAGTCCGTCAGTATCAACTCATCCATTCACACACATTCACACGCTGATGGTAGAGGCCGCTGAGTAAAGAGTCCATCAGTATTAACTCATCCATTCACACACATTCACACGCTGATGGTAGAGGCCGCTGAGTAAAGAGTCATCAGTATTAACTCATCCATTCATACACATTCACACACTGATGGTAGAGGCCGCTGAGTAAAGAGTCCATCAGTACTAACTCATCCATTCACACACATTCACACGCTGATGGTAGAGGCCGCTGAGTAAAGAGTCCATCAGTATTAACTCATCCATTCACACACATTCACACGCTGATGGTAGAGGCCGCTGAGTAAAGAGTCATCAGTATTAACTCATCCATTCATACACATTCACATGCTGATGGTAGAGGCCGCTGAGTAAAGAGTCCATCAGTATTAACTCATCCATTCACACATTCACACACTGATGGTAGAGGCTGCTGAGTAAAGAGTCATCAGTATTAACTCATCCATTCACACACATTCACACGCTGATGGTAGAGGCCGCTGAGTAAAGAGTCATCAGTATTAACTCATCCATTCACACATTCACACACTGATGGTAGAGGCTGCTGAGTAAAGAGTCCGTCAGTATTAACTCATCCATTCACACACATTCACACGCTGATGGTAGAGGCTGCTGAGTAAAGAGTCCGTCAGTATTAACTCATCCATTCACACGCTGATGGTAGAGGCTGCTGAGTAAAGAGTCCACGTTTTACTCACAGGTTTTTGTTTATAAATATAATGTTTTTGTTTATAAATATAATGTTTGTGTTTATAAATATAATGTTTTTTTATAAATATAATGTTTGTGTTTGTACACACAGAGTTTCTATTGGTGCCTCAGATGTTTAGTAAAGTCCCTGTTGGTGTGAGAGCGTGACCTTGATGCAGGCTGTGATCT